TATTATGAATTAGAAGAACATCACATACATGCTTGGTGGCATGTACAATGTACATAATTCAGGGCTCAAAAACAGCTGCTGAAGGAATATAGAGGCAGGACCTTCTATTTCTCTGCTTTTCCCACAACCTATCTTTCTGTGCTAAGTACAAAATTATTCTACATATGGTCAAACCACTAAACCACAAAGTAATCTAGACATTTAGAATTTAAGAACATAAAGATAACTAAGGGAGAGTCAGAAAACAAACCAAAGAACATGACACATAATGGAGACATAGTTTGCAAAGGTGTACCAGACAGCAAAGCTGTTTATAAGCTTTGTAGGAACAGGTGCTTAGAGAAGGCCAGGAGCGGTGACACTCAACACACACAGCACCAAATCTAAAGGGGTCTTCATGTTGTTTAGTATGTGGAGTATGGGCACTGAGTCTGAAGGTGCTACGTCATCTGCTACCATGAGGCGGGCCTAAGAAAGAAACCAGAATTAGGGAAATGAGAGGACAGAAGAACCCAGAGCAAGTAGCCAAACCCTCTTTTCACGGCAGCCATTAATGACACCTAAGCTAACATTCAACACAAGATCTCATCATTGCTTTTCAAGTCAGTGTGAATTTGTTGTCCTGTCATTTACAGTATAAGACTATAAACAGATCATTGAGATTCTTCTAAAAGGCAAGGCATTTGCTAATCTCAATGTGTGTACAGTGGCATTTTAAGGCATGACTGTTTTGTGAGACCAATCCAAACATCACAGACTACTTAGTATAGCTGACCTCTACTCCCTGATTGCTAGTGGGACTTGACAATTACTATGACAACCAGAAACGTTCCCCTGTATTTCCAAATGCTTCCCCTGAAGAGGAACTACAAATCTGTTTCATAATAATTGTTTGTATATGGTTCAGCTAGAGGCTCCAACAGGTGTGCTTAAATGTATTTAATATCATACCAACTTTCAAAGCATCCAGTATTCTAATCTACCACTCAAATCTTACAAATTTTACATAAGAAGCCACTTCAGACAGTTACTTATGGTTATCAAAATGTTTGGCAAAAAGCCATGTATGGTTTATGACAATGCATAGGTAAACAGTGCTTTATGCTGGCTACTGGTATTTGCAAATTCTCTTTGTAAAGCTTATTTCTCCATAGAACACTGCAGAAACATGCCGCTGACACCATGTTACTTTCTCTCCAGCCTCTTCTTACACTTAAATGCCATAAATGGGTTTTCCAAGTATTATTACAGTTAGGGTAGACACCTGATTGATACAGATCTTTTGTGGAAGGTTTACTTGCCTAACCAAGAGATAAGAGGACATACTTATCTTTGGTAGCTATGGTACTTGGAGAAAAAAGGAGCCATGTACAACTATGATAGGATATGCATATATTCAAAAGTTAGTACATGTGGTAGTATGAAAGAAAGTGGCCCCCAAAGGGAGTGGCACTATTAGGAGGTGTGGCTTTGCTGGAGTAGGTGTGATCTTGTTGGAGGAAGTGTGTCACTGTAGGGGTGGGCTTTGACATCTCTTCTGCTCAAACTTCATTCAGTATGATACTCAAGACTTCCTGTTGCCTGCAAGATGTAGGACTGTTACTTCTCCAGCACCATGATGATAATGGACTGAACCTCTGAACTGTAAGTGAGCCACTCCAATTAAATGTTTTTCCTTTATAAGGGCTGCTGTGGTCATGGCGTCTCTTCACAGCAATAGAAACGCTAAGACAGCACACTAAGACTAGTCAATTATAGAAAATCCCTGAAAACCTCACTGTGCAGTGTAACTGACTAGCCATGAAACCCTCTAACTCTGATCATCTTTTATGTGAGATACTGATTACGTCAGTCGGTTAACTATTCTGTAAGTTGGAATCTAATTAATACATGTTTAAGATCTGAAAACGAACGGGCAGTGGAAGAAGGACCAATATGACTATAAGGTTCCACAGTGGGTGACTGAGAGAAAAGTGGTTCCCGAGGGGAATTGGGAGGAGGGGACACAAACACACAAGCACATATGAACGAATCACAGCTGTGGGCGGTGCAGGCTAGACTCAGTCTGCTGTCATGTGACTTTTGGCAGCTGAGATGGGGGTACACGGCAAACAGTAGAAGGAGGAAGCAGAGCTCCAGAAATTAGAACTATCCACACAAAATGATTTATATCATAAAAAACAAATTACATGATCACCAACACACCAAAGAACATACAGAGCCTTGAGGACATTAGTTACCTTTCTAGGACCCATTTCGCACACACCCCAGCCCCATGCTGTGCCACAGTCCTTATTTTTAGATAGGATTCACTCCCCAGCTACCACCTCCAGACAAAAGATACTGCTCCAGACCTAACAGCATGGTCTTCTGTTCAAGCCCAGGAGCGCTGAGGACTCTGGGAAAAGGCCAGAAGAGAAGCCTTCTACCTTCCCTTGGCAGGAAACGAAGACGGTAACATGAACATTGTTAATAGCTGTCTTCTTATTAGGAGAGAAGCAAGTCTGAGCAAAGAATTCAAACGAGGACAATGTTGAAAAAAAGAGGAGAAAAATGGACTTTCAGCACTGTTATATGATATACTTCATGCCACTTCTAATCGTGCAGCTGCCAATTACAAGAGGCAAATGCATCACCTCTGTCTGCATATCCTATTTGCCGCCTAGCTGACAAGAGAAGCACAAAGTTGAGAGGGTAGGACATTCTAAGAAACTTTCAATGAATCAGGAAACCAGGAAGTACAGTGTAGAAAGCTAAGAACACGGCATTTATTACTACAGAGTATTATATAATTTACAATTGCCTACAGAAACCAAAGATGACACAGAACAGATTTGGTGCTCAGTGTTCTCTGGTGATTTTTTTGAAAAAAAATTTTTTTAAATTACATTTGTTTATTCTGCATCTGTGTGTGATGGAGGTCAGAAGACAACGTGCTAGAGTTGGTTATCTCCTTTAACCACGTGGGTCCTAGGGAGCTAACTCGGTTGTCAGGTTCCAAGGCAAGTGCCTTCACCTGCTGACCCATCCTGATGCCCCCACAGCAGGAGTGAAATGGTAAGGGACTTCCATTTCATAGTGACTTCACAGTGAAAATGAAAGACGAAGATGTGACAAACCCTTAGATGGACATTTAACACATATTAACCCCCTGGATATCCATCATGCAAGGTAAGTATTACATCCTACTTTATAGATACAGAAGAGTCTAAGTGGTAATATGACCACACCTACTAAACAGTTTTAGCACAAGTCAAAACCAAGGCTGAAAGATTTCTCTGACTACATCAGAGTCCTTGGATCCAAGAATTCTGACTTTTTTTTCTGAAAATCTGGACTTCAGCATAGCCTCCTGGAGTTGTAGCTGGTAGCTCAGGGGAAAACACAAAGGTGTACAGGAGCGGAAGGGAGCAGCTGAAGACGGCCTCCAAACAGTAATAATGGAGAGTTCTAAACAGAGAGATGGGAAGGGGGTGGTCATGGGCTCATCGGGAGGGGCTTGGTGCTCTTGCAAAGACAGACATTTCTTTCTCTGAAATATGAGCAAATAAGGAGATAATATTGGGGGGGGGGAAACCTGGGAAATAGAGGAAGTATGCCTCAGACAGCTATTTTCTCAGCCACTGGAGTTTAGAAGCCCCAACTTCCTTCTGATCCCTTCAAATAGAAATGAAAGTGTAGGAGTGACAGACCAGACCTGAGAGCGTATAGTTTTTAGTGGTGTAAGAGTGAAGGCTACCAACAAACAAATGACAGAAGACTCAAAAGACTTCTTCTTTTCAAGAGGGCAAATCCTATTCTAAAACTTTCATTCATACCTTTTTTTACAGTCCTGGAGGAATATGGAGTCAGTTTTACAAGCACTCTACCTCCAAGCTAAAACCCCAGCTTTCTAAAGTCGCTTTCAAAGCCCCACTCTTTTGCAATCTCGAAGGGCAAAAATGTCAGTATTTTTTAATGCCACTTCGGGGCTCTTGACACACATCTAAGTAATGGGATAGAGGAGACAGACAGCCCGACAACTTCCTCCACGGCCACTCTGATGGGGCAGTTGGCACTTACAAAGTTTGGCAAGATCCCTAAGTGATTTAGGACAATTTTGCGTTATCAGTAATCGCGATGACCCTTGAGGGGCAGCTGAGATTGGCACACACCCGCCTTATAGAGACTATCAAGAGCTATAAGCGTTGTTAAGCATTAGTAACAATTGAGAATACAAGAAATCTGAGCAGCCCTTTCTAAAAAACAAAAACAAAGGGCTTGCACATTGGGGATCCTAAAGCTTCAATGCGCACTTTACGCAAATAACTAAAAAAAAGTATAAACCCCTTAACGCTTTGTCCCATTATGTGTTACCTTACATTTATAAGATCTTTTTTTTAAAGGAACGTAACACTCCCCAATTCTTTCAATGGCTCTACAAAACCTAACGCTTCTCAAAACTCACGCCTCCTTCTCAAAAGCTGAGACTAAAGACTGGCTATGTCCAAAGAGATTAATGATTTAGAAGCGAATAATCACTTTGCCATCGCAGGTTCCATTTAGGCAGGAGTCAAGACTCCTCACCCATCCCAGTCTACCGGGACTCGTTCCCTTCTCCAGGGGGAACGGATCCCACCGGCCTCTGTACAACCAGTAAAGCTTTCCTCTGTAACGCCACAAGCCAGGCTCAGCTAATCCTCCCAGCGCTCCCAAGTTTTAAAGGGCAGCAAGAAGGCTGAACTCGCACGAAACGGGCTGGACGACCCACGCACCCAGAGCGAAGACGACTGCTTAGCAGGGGCGAGGCTGCCTGCGAAGCCGGGGAGAGGCGCGAGGGCGGCGGGAGTCACGACCCCCGCCCACGGTGTGGGAAGGGGACCCTGCGAGCCCGCGGGCCGGCACGAGGCCGGAGAGGGGCAGGCCAGGAACGTGCCGGGCGGAGCGCGGTGGAAGCGGGCCGCCGGAGTCCCGGCGCCGTCGCCGGGGTGGGAGTCGCCGGGGTGCGCAGCCGCACTCACCTGCCAGACGCTCGCTCCGCGGCCGCAAGCGCGGGCGCCGCCCGGGCGCCTCCCCTCCCGCGGGACTCGGTCCCGGCCGCCGCTGGAGCTCCGGGCCCCGAGAGTCACCGGTGGTGGGACCGAGGCGGGCAGAGCGGCGACCGGCCCCGAGCGCGAGGAGGCGAACATAGGGGGCGCTGGAAGGGCAACGCCTCGCTCCACCTTCCTCAGCGGTAGCCGACTGCGCTTCCCGGGCACAGCATCGCGCCAGCCTCGGTCCGCGGCTCCCAGGCCTTCGCCCGAAGCTCCCCCAAGGCGGCAGCCGGGTTTCCGGCGGCCACACTCCGCCCACTCAGGACAGGGCCGCCGCCATCTTGTTGGAGGCGGGAAAGCGTGCAGTGCGCACGCGCGTTGGGGGCGGTGGGCGGGCCGGCGTCCCGCTGTTCGGGAAGGAGGGTCTGGACTGCGCAGGCGCAGCGACCGATGCCCTGCCTCTGCGGTATCTGTTCTGTTCTTTTGGATCCTCAGTCTCCAACCTGCTCACCTTTCCCAGATGAGCTGAAAGCAAATTAGTAAACTTTTCCTGCGCACACTACGGTTATCTATGAGCATCTGTTCGTATCAAGCATGCACCAAGTGCCAGGTCCTGGGCTAGGTACTGATTATAGAAAAATTATTATGAAAATGGATCCTAGCGCTAAGGGAGATCCTAACCCAGTGGAGAAGACAGAAACCAGTTTTTGTTCTGTAGGTTCCCCTCCAGCCCTCCTCTCCAGTTTTAATTCTAAACCTACTTATTCTGGACCCTAGGGGGAGAATTCCCACAGAGCTACACTTTGTTTGGCTCGCTCTAGAGTGTTAGCACCTAGCTTTGCTCTGCCTTTTGTGTGATTGCTACCTCCGTCTCCATACCCTCTGTTACCTGACTTTTCCTAGGGCTCAAAGCCTATGCAAACTCAGCTTAAGAACAACCCAGAACACTGCGAATTTGCATTTGGCATTGACCCTCTGGGGGGCTTAGATAAGAAGCTTTGGTTATGGAATTGAAAAGGTGTGAATTGTATAACAATGAACGAGCCCTTTGCTAAGGGAGAGTGGACTGTTAGGGTCCTGGAAAAGTCCCTCATACACAGTCAACAAGAGCGTTTTTTTTTTGGCTTTTCGAGACAGGGTTTCTCTGTGTAGCTTTGCGCCTTTCCTGGATCTCGCGCTGTAGACCAGGCTGGCCTCGAACTTACAGAGATCCGCCTGCCTCTGCGATTAAAGGCGTGCGCCACCACCGCCCGGCAACAAGAGCGTTTTTATTCCAGCATGCTGGGGCCTGCCATCCCACATGAAGGCAAGATGGCAACGACCCTGAGAGGAGCCCACAGGCTCCTTTTAAGCACAGCTAAGAGGAGGTCCTAGAGCAGGTAGGTCATTTCAGATATGATTGATTTAAGCAAGTGGCAATCATATTAATGTTCAATTAGAACAATAATATGTTCTAATTGGCCAGGGCTAGTCAGGGGCTGGTCAGGGCTACAGTTTTCCCTTTATTTTGGCAGACCTGGACAAGTCCCAGGCTTTGTCCTTGAGCTGTTGTGGAGGCTGACTGGCTGGCCTAGTATGCACTGACTGTGGGGGCTGGCTCAGTGGCCCAGACTTGGTGCATCCAATCTACCTTGTCCCTATGGTCAGGGGCACCAGTGATTAATTGTCCTTTGTTTGTGGCTCTTTCAGAAACTGCTTGTTCAGTTTCAGGAAACTGAAATTGAGGCCTGATCTCTAAGAGAAGACTGAGCAGCCTGCTATGACATCTGTTCGGTCCTCTCATTCCCCTCTTGAGTAGTGCACCATCTCAAATCTTGGAGATTTTTTTTTATAGGCTTATATTGGGATTTTAGAATCATCAGCTTAATGGTACCCAGACAGGAATTATCATTTGGTTAAGGCATCAGTGATGCAAAAGCCAATAGCAATTAGCAGAAGCAGAAGGGCCAAAAGCCCTGTGATGGCTGAGAGAGTTCCTTATTTAGAAGGAACTTGGAAATGAGAATGGGGACCAATTATTATATTATCTCAGGTTCCCTATGACAAGAAATTCTCTTTTGATCTAACATTGTGGGGAGGGGAACAAGGACGGCATATTCTTTTCTGTAATTACTTCCTACTGACATTAGGACACTGTTGTCAGGGCCCTGGGAAGCCAGAATGTTAGTTAAAGGCAAGGAGGGAATGTAGAAGCATCTGGTTCACTGACCAGCTGAAGAGACAGCATTTACATCAACTGGATTGGTCCATATCAGTTTTCAGCAAATTCAGAACTCACAGTCATGGAACAGGTTGTCATCAGCAATTGATGCTTGGATGTGTCTGTCAGCCAAGTGGAAACCTGTTGAGACAGATATAAACTAGGAACAGAAGTTAAAATTTATGAATTTATTTGGAACTTTTAGATTCATAGTCTCAGTAATTGAGGAGGGGGAGAAGTCCTAAGACCTGGATAGAAAAAAAATCCCATCTTCAGGAATAGACAGGTGGGGAAACTTAGGCTGTATTTATCCAGAATCCTTTTGACCTGTGAGAAGTAGATCCAAGTTTTATGACTTTTTTTTTGATTCTTTGAAGCTTATATGAATTTCCATTTCATAAAAAGCTGTAAAAGTTTCAGATATATTAGTATTATCCATCTGTATTGAAATCCATATTGTAGACAAAGCAGGTAACAGGTATCTGTAATACAGCAGGAATAGACTCATACCTTTGAGTCCTAGCAAAAGCTATGGATTTGGGTTAAAAAGCATGTACATTTTTTTCTGTTAGAGAGCCAGTTATAGATTGGACTGAGATGCCTTTGGCTCATGAAAAGCATCTGTAAGTCTATATTCAGAAGACAACCGAAGGAAATCTAAAATCTTGAGCTTGTGACCCAGATAGTAAACAGTCATTGCTTTATTAGTCTGTCAGAATTTTATTAATGTTAAACTTTGAAATTTAGAAATTTCAATGGCAAGGGAAAGAAATCTTGTAATATTTTTCATGTATCTTAAGCCATTTTTTATTTTTATAAATTACATTTATATTTCTCAAAATATCCTCTTAGACTTTCATAATTTAAGTCTTTATGTCTTAAGACCCCTAATAGTTGTATTGACATATTTTAAGTCATCCTTTTATTATAATTAAAATTTTCATATCCTCAGACCTTTATATATTTTAGACCCTCAGAATTTATATTGATTTTCATGTTTTTTATTTAATTATTTATCAGAGATATAAGCAATTATCATTAAAAACATCCATTTTAAGTTATGTTTGAAACTTGTTTGTGTCTTTTACATGTCTGACTTGTAGTTATCCTTCAAGTTTTGGTTTAATTGCCACCTCAGAAAGGCCACTGGGTCATCTTTCCTAACTAAATCTGCCTTCCTGCCCTATGCCTGATTCATCATTGCACCTTGTCATTTCTTCCATGGCACAAAGGATGTTTTTGAAAATCATCTCCTTTGTTTGTTTTGAGACAAGATATCACTGTAACCCAGGCTGACCTTGAACTGGTAATCATCCTGCCTTAGCTTCCTTGATATTACAGGTATGTGCCATGTAATTGGCCCTTCAGTTTTTATTTTATTTTTGAGTAAGGGCCTCACATATCTCACTCTATCCTCAGATGCCCTGTGATCATCTTGCTTATACCTCCCAAGTGCTAGGGTTATGGACATGTGCCATTATGTCTGGCTATGGTTTTAAATTATATATGTATTGTTTGCTTACTCCCTCCTCACTAAACAGTGAACTGCTTAAGAGAGGGAAAAATGTTTTGTTTTTAACACCATGACTGGCAAGGATGGCTACTCAATAAACGTCTGTTGAATTAATGAATGTGGAAATTTGAATCTAAGTAGTTAGTGGTGTATTAAATATAATACCTATTTTCACCTATTGGGTTTTAAAATTAAATTATATTTGTCAGAGGGGTGGAGTAGTAGGCAGAAATTATATTGAATGTATTTGTAGGAGTGGGCAAGGGAAAGATTGAAGTTAATGAGATGTCTATTGTATGTCTATGTATTGTAGATCCTAAGTCTTTATCACAGCCCATCTAGGTAGCCATCCTCACTTTGGACATGCGCAATACAAAGAGATTAAGTCACTTGACCAAGAAATCTTTTAGAGACAGTCCTGACCCAAAGCCCAGGTGTACTCTTCCCATTTAGGTGAGACAGATCTAGAGACAACTTGTCTGGTACTTGACTCTGTCCTGAGCTAGCATTAGATAGCTGAGTGGCTGCCCATCCTAGGCTATTCCTGCGTGGATTCCCACTGAGGTCCTGATTGAAAACTGCAGGCATTCTTTTCTCTTAGATTAGAGCAGTGCTCATTTTACCAGTGTCATTTTTCAATGTTTGTATTTTTATTAAAAACTTATGTATATTTTCAGTATAGAGAAAGAAGAAATGCCTGAAAACTGGAACACATCCTAAGTGTGAGTTACACTTCTTCGGCTTCTTTAGTGTGTTTGACTGGCTCTTCCATCTAGTCTCCCAATTTTTTTAGATCCCAAAGCAGGAGTAACAGGATCACTGCAATAACCTCTTTTTCTATTAATTTCTCATAATTCTATATTATTGTTTCAGATGGCTGGAGAGATCTGCTATTTGGGGTAGGCTGTAATCTTATTCGTGGGGACCATTCAGTCCTTATGTGAGGTAAGAGACACCCTAAATTCATGATGACATATGCTGAACTCTGTCAGTCCATGTAGAAACCAAGTAGTAGATAGAACTATTTAAGACTCACCTCTAGAGGAGTGGACTGGGGGTGGGAACAGAGGGCACTGGTGGGGAGGAATGGGAGGAGAGGAGGGAGGGGAAACTGCAGCCAGGATGTAAAATAAATAAATAAATAGATAAATAAGGACTCACCCCTCTCTAGGTTCTTTCTCACTACAGTATAATCCTTGGAGCAAATCATGGAACCATGACAGTGTTTCCTTATGTTTACCCTCTGTTATGAGTAGAATTGTGCCCACCCCAAACAGGTTCAGCTCCTAGCCACCAGAGCATGATCATAATTGAAGGCAGAGTCATTTGTAATACAACTAAGTTTAAACTGGGTCACAGCGCAATGGGAAAAGTGGCATAAGGAATGTTGTCTGTATGAGCAGATGCTCATGTGAAGACAGAGGCAGAGAGAGAGATTCGAGTGAGGACAAGGCAAGAAAAGCCAGATGTCATCAGCAAACCATCACCTCAGATGAGGTGAGCCAGGCTTTGCTTGCCTCTCGGTTTCAGAGGCGGCATGCTCTGTTGACACCTCAGGTTTTGATGTCCATCCTTCAGAACCATGAGTGCACACACTGTTTTATGCTGCCAACCTGTGGTATTTATTATGGCATTCCTAGGAAATGAACACACCATCTGTGGTGGTTTGAAAGAAAATGGCCCTCAAAAGAGAGTGGTGCTATTAGGAGGTGTGGCCTTGTTGAAGGAAGTATGTCACTGTGGGGGCGGGCTTTGAGGTCTCTTTTGCTCAAGCTTCCCTCAGTGGGACTGTCCTGTTGCCTGTTGACTTCCTGTTGCCTGCAAGATGTAGCACTCTCAGCTCACGTCTGTCTGCACCCCACCATGCCTCCCATCATGATGATAGTGGACTGACCCTCTGAAACTGTAAGCGAGCCACCCCACTGAAATGCTTTCTTTTTAAGAGTTGCTGTGGTCATGGTGTCTCTTCACAGCAATAGAAACCCTACGACACCATCTTAAATATGTGACAGAGCCTGGAATAAAGGACAGAGAGTGGGCAGTGTGGCTTCTGTTCCCACATGACAGCACGCCAGCTGCCCAACTTCCCGCTAGTCATTAAGCAGTAGTTTCTTTATCTACAAACAAGGATGGCGGTTACTTCCCTGCCTCCTTCAGAGATCTGTAGTGAGAACAAGTATGTTGTTCAGTGATGTCACCAAGAGGGTCCGACAGACACTAAGAACACTTACGTGAAACCCAGGGTTCTTGCCACAGGAAGTCTACAGTGTGGCTGAGAAGACGTGACACTTCGCTGTGAGACTATCACTAGCGGATGACAAGCGTGTGGTTCGCATCTTACCATCGTTGCTGAAAGAAGGAAAGATCTTGTGGACTAGGACAGAGAAGGAACCTTCGTGAAGAGCCTTCACGGGAAAAGAGTTTCTTAGAAGGGTCTTAGGGACCTACAGGACCTTCATGCTCAACGATTATGACAGTGCTCACACCAGGTCCATGAAACCTCTACTCTAGCTACTGCTAGATGTAGAAACCTGAACTGAGACTGTCACACCACATGACTGGGACATCAAATGTTGTTTCTGATGCCCCTGAAACATGATACGGCAATGATCACTGTCACTGCTCCCAGGGGATGGGATGGAAGGTCACATTGTCTCATAGCACTAGCTTTTCAACCTCAATGGGGACAATGATTGACACAGTTCAGCCATATGTTGGCCCTGTAGTTCTATGCTGTCCAACAGAAATATAATGTAAGCTACACACTTAGTTTAAGGTTTTTTGTTTTGTTTTTTTTTACCGGAGCTGAGGACCGAACCCAGGGCCTTGCACTTGCTAGGCAAGCGCTCTACCACTGAGCTAAATCTCCAACCCCAAGATTTTTTTAAGAGCCACATTGAGAAAGTTTCTTTCCTTTAATTATGAGTGAACCCTCAAGGGAAGGCTTAGGGAACACTGTGGAAGAGGAGGCAGTAAGATCGTAAAAGCCAGAGGCTGGGGAGGGGTAGAGTGTGTTCTGGACATAACAGGCCTGCTGACTCATGAGTGCACAGTGGCCGTGTTTATCTGCACAAGATCAATCCAGTCAATATTCCAGCTTGCGGCAGGGAGGAGCTCATGAACCCTGACCCCCTAGGTGGGGTCTGTTGACACTTGATGGCTTCTTCAGAAGGGTGTCAGTTTTCCCTTAGGGTGTGGTCCCTAGTGGGTCAAGTAGGCTCCGGTGGACGGCCCCATGTCCATGAGTATAAAGGCAGCAGAAATTGGACTTGATGTGTTCTTTTTAAAAAAAATCAAAAAGACACAAAGTTTGGAGGGGGTTGAAAGTGGATCTGGGATGGATCTGAAGGGTTAGGGGGAGGGGTTGGGGGTGAAGATGATCAAAATACATTGGATGCATGGATGAAATTCTCAGAGAATTAATAAAAACATATTTAAAAATAACATGAAATCCTAACTATATAATTTCAAGATTTTAATCATATGTGTATGGGAAGGGGCTGTGCATGTATGTGAAGTGTTTCTGGGGGTTGGAATAGGTCATTGGATCCCGTGGGGCCGGAAGAGGTACAGGTGGCTGTCTGCTGCCAAGTGTGGGTGCTGTGAACTCTGCAAGAACATTATGAGCTCTTAACCACTTAAATATTTCTCTAGCCACCTAACAACATATTTTATTTAACTCAGTATGTCCAAATATCATTTCAACATGGCCACTAGTCCTGATTCTAGTGCTTAATGGTCATGTGTGGTGAGTAGCTACCATATTTAGTAACACAGTTCTAGGCTGGTCCACCAGGAACATAAGTCCAGGATATGGACTTTCAGTTCCAATAGCAAGAGTTGAGTTGACCTTCTCCTGGCAGACCTCAGGAGAAGAACAGTTTCCTAAACAGAGAAAGAGAATTAAGATAGAGTTTTGCAGATGGAAGATAAAACTATAGTAGATTGTAGATTAAGGACTTTTACCATTAATTTTACCTATTTTGTCTTTTTTTTTTTTTTTTTTTAAAGCAATTCTTTTTTTTTTTTTTTTTTTTTTTTTTTTTATTATTATGTATATAGTGTTCTGCCTGCAGGCCAGAAGAGGGTGCCAGATCACATTACGGATGGTTGTGAGCCACCATGTGGTTGCTGGGAATTGAACTCAGAACCTCTGGGAGAACAGCCAGTGCTCTTAACCCCTGAGCCATCTCTCCAGCCCCTATTTTGTAAAGTGGAAAAGTACTTTGAAATTTAGAAGAGCCATGCAAGTGTACATGATGTGGAGAATATTTGAACCAGAGCCAGAAGTCCTTAGCTCTAGCTGTGCCTTCTCTCTTCAGCCCTAGCCAAGTTACCCCCCTGAACCTCTCTTTTCACCTTCAGAAATAGGGATGATGACATCCACCTCAGGTTTGGTCCAAAGATTTCATGACATAGTGTATGTGAAAGTATCTAGTACCTGGTATATTATTCAAAGGGCTCCAGAGAAACAGAAGCAATGGTGTGTGTGTGTGTGTGTGTGTGTGTGTGTGTGTGTGTGTGTGTGTGTGTGTGTGTGTGTGTGTGTAATAGGATTGGTCTATGGAGGCCCAGGAAATCTTATAATTTGTGTTCTGCAAGCCAGAAGGAAAGCCAGTGATATAATTCAGTGAGTCCAAAGGCCTGTGAATTGCATATCTCATGAGTATAAGCCCGGGTTTGAATCTGAAAACTCAAAACAGGAGTAGCTATATGCAAGGACTGGAGCAGGACCACATCTACACTAGTGAGCAGAACTTCATTCAGTCTGCCAATTCAAATGTGGATCTCTGCAGGAGACACTGTAGATAAAACCAGGAAAAAGAAAAAAAAAAAAAGGTTTACTAACTCTGTGGGCATTCTGTAGCCTAGTTAAGTTGCTATGTAAAATTAACTATCATATTTAATAAACATTCAAAAATGTTACCTAAATGTGAAGAAATCTGAGCATATGGTTAGAAGAACCAATAAATAGAAAAGAGGCTGGAAGATTTTACCAAAGCCAAGAGGAACTCTAAGATAAAACTCCAGAAAATGTATAGTTTAGGTGTCTCTATTCTGTCACAGTCTTTGACAAGTTAGAATATGTGTTTATTTTTTTAAGTAGCTCATTTCTTCTGTGAATCTATTGATGGCCATCCATGTCTAAAGGCCACATCTTTTTTTTTCATAGCCTATAATTCTCCTTTGGTTAAAATAATATTGTTGTTTGCTAGGTTTATGCCATTTTTATTAGACATATACATAAGGGCATAAATGAGATTTGGTCCCTCTTGTCTGTGTGTGTGTGTGTGTGTGTGTGTGTGTGTGTGTGTGTGTGTGTGTATGTGTGTGTGTGTGTGTGTGTGTATTAAACTGAAAGCATCCAACCAAAAGCAATAAAATCAATAATTTTAGAAGCTAAATGAAGAGCGTGATAACAATTCATATTGCTCTTACTACTTTTGTATATGCTAGGAATTTGAACAATAAGGTTTAAAGACATCCCAGAAGCTGCTACTTCAAAATGACAAACTAAGTACAAATGTTTACAAATGTGTACTTCCCTTCTCTCTGTTCAGATGATAAAACTAATGAATGATAAGTGTCATAGAACATCACTTGCATAGGCCCTAAGTTGATGGAAGGTATCTTAGTGATATGTTCATAAATTTTTGGGAAACACATAAAAGTCTGTAAAAGTAACATATCTGAATCACAATTTGTTAAGAGCATTATCTCTTTTTAGTATGACTTACTGTCTGTTACAGTTCCTTTTGCGTTGGGTATCCTTAGAGGGGCTGCAGTGATTTTGAGGTCCACCATGGGGAGGTCGAGCTTGGGATACAAGTGTTTATTCACAATCACTGTTATGTGTAGTATCTTACTGCTAACCATTGTAGCAGAGGACTTGCTTCCAGGGAGGCTCCAACAGTCTACCTCCCTTACATTATAACACTGAGCCTGAGATCATTGTACATATGAACATATGTAAAGAGGCAGACCCTGATCTGTGCAGACTCACTCTTTAAAAAAGCCACTAGGAGTGGTGGCACATACCTTGTATACCCAGCATTCCAGATAGGATGAGAAATAGAATGCATTTTATCTTCTCAAGCACCGTGATAGACTATTTTAGGAGCTAGAAGGCTCCTAAATACAGGATACAGGATATGTCCTCTGACCTGAGGTAACTGAATAAGTAAGTCATTGGTGAGAAAAATGCAACAATGAAAGAATCCCCAACATGTGGAAGATAAGCAACACGCTTTTAAACAAAATGTTGTCGAAGAGGAGGTCTCAAAGGAAATTAAAAACAACAACAACAACCATAAACGGAGTGAAATGTAAACAGAACGCATCAAAATTTGTGAAACAAAGGTAAGATGTTGCTCCTAGAGGGGAATGAATAGCACTAATGACTACACCAGAAAAGAGGAAAACAGGGCCAGCACCCTGGTTCAGCTGGTAAGGGGTCTGCTGCCAAGCCTGATGATCTGAGTTTGAACCCCAGGACCCACACGGAGGAAGGAGAGCACTGACTTCTGCAAGCTGTCCTCTGCCCTCCACTGTGCGGCATGCATGCACTTACACACAAATGAGTGAATATATAAATGCTTAGAAAACAAAAGAAGCAGGAAAGATTACGTTAGAGTCTCAAGATAAACATATATACTCATCTGTCTTCCGGATCTAGAGGAAGAAACAAAAGAAAACAAACAAACAGCAAAAAAGAAGAAAAGAACCACAGAGCAAGCATAAAAAAGTGCAATCAATGAACTTGAAAGGAAAAACTACCGGGAAAATTAGTGACACAAAAGCCTGGCTAGGACCCACAAATAGGCCTGACAAAATAAAATAATGAACTAGAAGAGACAGAAACAACAAATGTCAGCCACAACACGGTGTCCCACCACAGTGCCTGCAGCCATGGAAGGAATGAGAGGTCCCTGCACACATAGTCACAGAGAATCAGAGAACACTGCACACATAGTCACAGAGAATCAGAGGACACTGCACACACAGTCACAGAGAATCAGAGGACACTGCACACACAGTCACAGAGAATCAGAGGACACTGCACACACAGTCACAGAGAATCAGAGGACACTGCACACACAGTCACAGAGAATCAGAGGACACTGCACACACAGTGACAGAGAATCAGAGGACACTGCACACACAGTGACAGAGAATCAGAGGACACTGCACACACAGTGACAGAGAATCAGAGGACACTGCACACACAGTGACAGAGAATCAGAGGACACTGCACACACAGTGACAGAGAATCAGAGGACACTGCACACAGTGACAGAGAATCAGAGGACACTGCACACAGTGACAGAGAATCAGAGGACACTGCACACACAGTCACAGATAATCAGAGGACACTGCGGACACAGTCACAGAGAATCAGAGGACACTGCACACACAGTCACAGAGAATCAGAGGACACTGCACACACAGTCACAGAGAATCAGAGGACACTGCACACACAGTGACAGAGAATCAGAGGACACTGCGGACACAGTCAAAGAGAATCAGAAGACACTGCACACACAGTCAAAGAGAATCAGAGGACACTGCACACATAGTCACAGAGAATCAGAGGACACTGCACACACAGTCACAGAGAATCAGAGGACACTGCACACACAGTCACAGAGAATCAGAGGACACTGCACGCACAGTCAAAGAGAATCAGAGGACACTGCACACAGTCACAGAGAATCAGAGGACACTGCACACACAGTCACAGAGAATCAGAGGACACTGCACACACAGTGACAGAGAATCAGAGGACACTACGGACACAGTCAAGGAGAATCAGAGGACACTGCACACACAGTCACAGAGAATCAGAGGACACTGCACACACAGTCACAGAGAATCAGAGGACACTGCGGACACAGTCAAGGAGAATCAGAGGACACTGCACACACAGTCACAGAGAATCAGAGGACACTGCGGACACAGTCAAGGAGAATCAGAGGACACTGCACACACAGTCACAGAGAATCAGAGGACACTGCGGACACAGTCACAGAGAATCAGAGGACACTGCACACACAGTCACAGAGAATCAGAGGACACTGCGGACACATAGTCATACTTGGAAATCCCACAACTTTAAGAGAAAACCGGCCAACTTATAAAATCCTAAACTACTGAGACTTGAAGAGGATGAAACAGGATAATCTTACATCCATTAAAGAATGAACTTGTCATTGAAATAATCTGCAAGAAGACACAGATGTTTCAACTGGAGAATTCCAGCAAACATTTACAGAATTATTATTAACTTCCTGCAATATCATCCAGGAAACTGAAAAGGAAGAAATACTTCTC